TCTAAGGACCGTCGAGTACCCCGCCCCCCACCCCCCCCGCCCCTCCATCTCAGGAATCCTGCTAGAATCTCAGCTGGACTTCTTCTAAGGTGGCTTCCTCTCTTCCCATAGCAGCAGACAAAATGCGTTTTTTAATTTCTTCTTTGAAGAACTGGAGAGCCAGAACCAAGCCCTCCTTTGCCCGGAATGTACTGTCCCACCTTTCACCGCTCCAGCTTAATGACTTTTAGAAATGCAATTAACAGGGGAACAGGGCAACAGCCTGATCACGGGATGGGCCCAAGATGGCTTTTAGCCAGACCTCGGCATAGGCACTGCCGTTCAGAAGAAAATCTGGGAGCCAACAGGAGCTGGCCGTTTGCAGCTGCTTTGAAATCCCATGAGGAGATAATAATCACAGCTTGCATTCTTAATGTTCTCAGGTTTAGTTTGCCCACCTTCCCAGAGCAAATCAATCCAGGTTAGGCAATTTGGAGTTATCTAGGCATTTTGGACTCCCAATCTCCAGCAGTTCTGGTCAATATGGTACATATCGGGATCATGGGAATGGCAATCAGAAAATCTGGAGGGCACCAGATTGCCTGCCTCTGACATAAATAATAAAAAGTTGATCTTAAGATGCAGGCATGTCTTTTGCAGAAGTGACGTGGATCTTCCTGCTGTCTTTAAGCACACAGTAATCCAAAGAACAGCTAGGTAGATTGCTAGAAAACCCAGCTTTTTTCAGTTGACTTTCACCTATCCAAATTCTGAGGGAAGGGGGCCTCAGTAATGTACCTTCTGCTGGGCCTTATCCTATCTGTCAGCAACGGGGAATCTCTAGGAAACACCTTTTTCCAGCAAGACTACACTTACCTTTGTGGGAAATTAGAATGTTTGGCGTTCCGGATTTGGCTGTTTGGGTTTTTAAGAGACATGTCAGATCCAAGAGATTCTGATGCTGGTGCCACATCTGGCAGCTTAGTATCTCTAACCAGTTCTCTAGCAGCCATGGAGTACATTTTAACTGACGTAAATGCCATTTCTGTAGGCTTTTTTCAAAGTCCTGAAGTGGGAGTGAAGTTCTCAGACTCACAGCTTAGCGAACTGCACTGCATTTTGTGGTAGTCGTGGGAGATGGGCAGCTTCAAAGCCTCTCCTCCTCTCCAGCTCTCTGCTCTGGGAAGCAGAACTCTGGAAAGGGTGCTTATGGCTGAGGATGAATGGAAGGGCTGGGCATAGAAGAAATATTTGCCCTGGCTTCCACTGCAGCAGAAGATATAAAGGTGAACGGCAACCTAACGGTGCCCATTTTACAACAGAAGGGGATCGAGATGCCCAGAAACTAAAAACAAGAGCTTTTACCGGTCATCCATCCACAAGAAAGGCAAACTTTGGGCAGCAGAATGTGTTTATTTGCTTTGGGGGGGGGGTATGAAAGAGCACACCCTTTAGACATCGGCGTGAGCACCCACATCTTCAAAAATCACATTAGAAAGTCTTTGGGACTGAGCTGGCCCCGGTTGCCCCCTGAGGTTACTTGCTGAAATGAATACGCTTGCAGGCTAACCGAAGCAATTGTTCCCCTGGATTCTAGACCCTTCCCTTTTTGGCACTTTAAGATTCTGGAAGCAAAGTAAAGGAGTCACAGACCGCTGACTCAGCTCCCTACCCTACCCTAACCTCTAAAAGGTGAATTGATAAATGGAGCTTGGAGTTTGCATGGCTCCCTGTGGTGTCTTTAGTTCTGGAAGGGTGATGTCCTTCTGCGATTGACCAGCATGATGTGGTTTTATTGGCCAAAAATGAGAACTCAACGCCATCATGAACACAGTTGATCCTGGAGGCTTTAGCTTACAGCAGCGTGTGATTGCCTAAACTTGTGGTTAGGCCTCTTGCCAGGGCCGTGCGTCTTTTTGGAGGGGGGCAGGGCAAGATGTGGAATTTAAACCCAGCTGTGAGAAAAGCTGGATTCCCTGTCCTGCAAAAAAAAAGATGTAATGTTTGCAACTCTTTGCCTTTTTTTTTTTCCCCCGCACAACCCACCCAGGTCCTCTGGAAACTCTGGAACAGTTCTGATTTCTTGATCCCAATAAAAGGGTGCCTTTCTTATTTCTTGGTGTGCTATGTTTGAGTTGGTGGCTGTGGTCGGTATTTTTTAGGATTCAGGCTAGGTCCAGAGTCTCAAAGTAGCCGAGGGGGATAGTCAGGCGCAGACAAGCACAAGGTTCTTGTCCTTTTAGTGTTGTGTGGGAGAGGGAATTTCAGCAGGTATTGTGTTCTGGATGGGTTTGGAGCAAGCAGGGGAGATAAACCCCCTCAGTGACACCTCCCAGCAGGGTAGCAGGGCAGAACCCCAAGGCAGAACTGCACATGGTAAAAGCCAGTCAAATCAGGCAGGACAGTCCCTTCTGGCCAGGTTGGGTCACGGCAGGGAAAAGAGTTTGGCCAGGTGAAGGAGGTCAGCACCTTGGAGAGCTGAGAAAGTGTCCTCCGTGGAAAGGGAATGGCTGCTTCAGGGAGGTACAAAGACCTCGTGAAAACTGGCTGGTGCTCCTCTCACGCTGGCCCCCTCTAAGGAGGTTTCCATGATTGTCAAGGGTCAGAGTCCGTTCTGCTGTTTGCTTCTCCTCTGGTGTGCAGGCCAAGGGTCAGCCTTGCGAGGTAGTCCAGGCAAGAGGCACACCCAGAAGTACTAGCTCTATCTGTTAATGTAAGGTTGCATGAACCGAATCTTGCAAGTCTGAAAGTGCATCTCCCCCCCCCTCACCTTTGCAGCCCAAGAAACTAGGGAGGGTCTCTTCTGAGACATTTGCCATGCCCCCAATCCTTTTGTGGGCTCAGCTGCCATTTATCTAACCATTGCCTAGCCTGGGGCTCTTCCTCCTGTCTCCCAAGGTCATTCCCGCATACAATTACGCCAAGGGACTGTCCTGGATCTGGAAATCTAAGAAGTCCCCCCCTACCCTGGTAGGAAAAAGTCAGAGCAAGATTCAGCCATCCAGGAGTTGCTTTCTCTGCATCGATTTCTCTGTGCTAGAGGGCAGTGAAGGTTGGGGAATGTGACAGCTCTGTGTGACATGACAAGCTAAATCTGCTCAGATATTTTGTGCAAGTGCTAAATAGACCAGAGCCCAGGCCTCATTTTCATTCTCCTAACTTTGGTTTCTGCCTGTCGGCAGGGCTCAAAGACCTGAAACCTGGTAGCCTTCTGCTTGAAATCCAGGTGCCTCCATGGAGCTCTTTTTAGAAAGAAGCCCCATGGCAAATTCTAATTATAAACGGATTCTTGATCTGATCCAGACAAACATTTGGGGGAAAGCTGTGATTCATGGACAGAGGCAAACTCAGTGGCTTTGGTTAACGGATGGGTAAAGAACGTGATGTCTCCATTGCCGTGCCAAATTTCAGGAGTGGTATCAGTGGTCCACCTGCGGTAGTTTATGTCTCGATGTTTTTAAAATATCGCTAAAGTGGGGAGCCAATTTAAACAATCCTCGTGGTCCTCTTCTGCTTTCTCCCTGGGGTCCAAAACCTCTGCAAAATAATGTGTGGGGAAGAAAATTCTGGGGATGGAGGGAATGGAGGGAAGTTTGAAGGAGATCATCTGTTGCATGTTAGCATGGATGGGGAAAAAAACTGCCCAGCATGATTTATCTGGGCCTCCCCTCCCTCCGGGCACGAAGAAGCCAAGTATATCATTCTCATCACGCTTTCTTATTTTTCCCCAAAGTCTTAATTATCAATAACCAATCTTGATTCCCCTCCCTTCCTTTGATCTCTGTTGTTTAGGCTTCACCCTCATCTTTTATCGATGGATTTCTATCCGGTTTAAAAATAACCAGGTCTTTGGAATAGAGAACATAAGGGAAATCGCCACAATGCCATCTAATAGGAGATCCAAGGGCGTGACAGGGGTTATCCGGTAGCTCAGATTTATTAGCAAGCTCCATAGAGACAGGGGTTTATTTACAGATCTGCCGAGCGAGCTTGGGCCCTCCTCCCCTTCCCCACTCCACTCCAGGGAGTTGTATCAGACTTTTTCCGTCCACAGAGAAGCTGCTCTACAGAGGATCAGAAAAATTGCCTCGACTTAGAACTTTTTGCTTTCGCTAGCTGCTTCTCATGTATATCGGAAACAGAATCCGCTGTTCCTCCACGTTTTGATCCCACGTATGAATGTCATCTTTATCTGGCTTTCCTGCTCAGAAATAAGAACCCCATTAACATTTTTATTGCATGGTTAAAAGTCTCGTATTGAAAACTTTGCATCGGGGCAGCAGATGGGGTCAAAAGGCGGGGCGATGTAGGTAGACCCACGTTTTCAGTGGGGGGGGTCTTTCTTTTTTAGTTAAAGGGGTGGTACTATCACGAACTAGCCCTATCCAATTTGCCTCATTTGTTTGGGACTGTGCCAGCTAACTCTAACTGGGAACTGCATTTCTGATGCTTGAGGATTTGTCACTGAATTTCAGCAGTGTGGGGGTCTGGTGGTCATCAAAACTGGGTTCAGAGGCCACTTAGAGCCTGTGATCGCGGCTCACCTTTGCATTACATTGATCCACGTAGGTTCCTAAAGCATACATCAGTGCAGTGAGGCCATCAACGTCCAGTCAGGGTCATGGCTAATCCTGAGAGCTATATTTTGTTCAGATGGAATTGAAGGTTCCTGCAGTGCGTACAATTATATCTCCCTAGCTATCTATGGACCTCCTTATTCCCTCTTAGATGCATCACACACACACACACACGCACGTATGCGTACGTATCTATATTATTTATTTATTTATTTTTGGGCTTTCAAGTCAGTTTGGACGCCTGGCAACTG